AGTCGGGTGCTGGCGGTGCGGGGGAGGCAGGCAATGGGCTCCTCTTCCAGCTGCGATGGTCAGGAGCCGCAGGCCGGGCGCGGAGCCAGGCAGAGTTTGTTTTAATGGCGGAACTTGGCCTTTTTCATGCGGATTCTTAAGTCATCCGGGACCCTCAAATGCAAGCCGCAGAGAAACTGGCTCCAGGGTTGTTGTACCTTTTTTTTTAAGCACGCTGGGTTCTTGGCTGTTGCCGTGTTGTAGGGGGGCAAGGTTCCTCGGGTAGATGTGATATCTTTTATTAGACCAACTGAGTAGCTGGGGAAAGGTCTTTGCAAGCTTTGGGGCACAGTCATCCTTTGTCAGGCATAGGGAGTCTCTGCTGGTCTGAGAATCCAAGGAATGAGAGAAGATAAAAGACCCGATGCCTGAAGAAGGGTGAAAGCTTGCTAAGAACTGATTTCCAACTACTCAGTAGGTGTAATAAAAGATATTACATCTACTCGAAGAACCTTGCCTTTTTTAAGCACTGACTTTATAGCAGGGGTTGGTCCTTTTGATAGCTGCAGGCATTTTTGATCATTACTTTTGCACCGGTGGCCGGTGTAAATTTACTGGGCCATTCAGCAGGGACTTGTGTGATCATCACTTTGCCCACATGGCCGGCTTAACTGTGTACGTGTAGCGAGGTCAAAATTTACTGCGTGGTTTGCTGGTGACTTGCATAATGTATGTAATGTGCAACAGGGGCCCGAGTGTCCCTGTGCTACGTGAACAATGATTGCAGCCCGATTTGCTCTGGGTTGGCTTTTACATGTGCACACCCCAGGTGGAAGTGCAGTATTTCGAAGCTTTGCCCAGAAAAAATAGCTTTGGTCACAGAAAAGTGGCACTGGACAATCCAAAAAAGGGGTTTTAGCTAGTTTTGACTAGCTCACTTCTTTACTTGGATAATTGTTGAGGTGGGAAATGGAGTAACACGTGTTAAAGTTAAATCGCCTGATATGGTGACATTCCTAAAAATGTATTGCACTGATTTTTTGGGTGGAAAATAATGGACAGGGATAGTGGAGAAAGGGTACAGTGCGGGGTTCACCTCACTGTAGGTAGTTGAGCTCAACCCTGTTCTCTCTCCTAGGAGCTGACTTAGATTATAGCCACTTTGTGGAAAAATGCCCATGACTGAGCAGCGGGCTCTACAGTCTGCTGTCAGCTAACATGTAAAACTGCCTTATTTTTGCAGTGAGCACATGGCTTGAGTTTAGTTAAGGAGTTAAAGCACTAATTCAACTCTCTTGGACACTTGAGGACCATCGAATCAGGGGTTTATTCTTTTATACGCAATAGCGCAGAGTAAACATTTTCTTGTTGCTGCACAATATAGTGTGCGTGTTTGCTTCCCCTTGTTCTTGTTTTCTTATTTAAGTTTCATTTCCAAATGTCACTTTAGGTTTAGGTGGCTGAAGTTAAATCCAGCCTAAAGCTGTGTTTGACCGACATCAGTACAAAGGGGCTTCCTGGGCATGGGACCCCAGGATCATAAAATGACTTATTACACATCGTGTTTTGCTTGGGTTTGACTCTGTGGAAATACACTTCCCCTGTCGGGGCAGTGCTACAGTTTCCCTGCTTTGCATAGCAAGTGTGAAAACAAACTGCCTCCAAGACAGCTTGTCTCTCGATCTCATCTGTTTCTAACTTCCGACTTGCCCCTCATGCTTCCTTTGGTTGGTTTTCTGGTCTTTTCATCCTAGTTCATGCTGCCCTTTTCACTTGAAAGAAACCCTGTGTTATACCTCTGTGTGTTACTAGTCAAAGAAACAAGGAAAGGTTGTGGTAAGCAATCTGCCTTGTTTCCCAGGATCTGCTTATCTGAGCACATACTTGGTGATGGTCGCTTTATAAGCTAACATGTCCAAGTATTGCAGGTATTCAGCAAAACTGCTTCCAAGACTCTGATAAGAACTAGACCGTCGCAGCGGTTGCAGAAGAGAGAAAATGTGGCTTTGCAAAACCAAGTTGTGTTCTACTGAAGCAGATAATCTTGCATACTTTTTCATAGATTAGTTTTTCATCCTTTTTTCTGTTTTATTCCTAGGCGATTGTGCACCCCCTCCCAGATTCAGTTTTGCTGAGCTAGTCACAAGTTTGGATTCCTATCGCATTGGGACTGAAGTGACCTATCGCTGTCAGCCAGGTTTCATTCGTGTTGGTGGAAAGTCTCCTGTCATTACTTGTCAAGATAACTCTACCTGGTCACAACCCTCCGAGTTTTGTGTGGGTTAGTATCTCTGCTGTTCTGTCTCAATTGACCTGCAGGCCACCTTTACATCATTTGGGATAAGAACAGATAGAGAGAGAAGCAGACAGCATAGCCAGGTTCAAAAAGGACATGGATTACTTCAGGGATGAGAGATCTATTAGTGGCTATTAGACAACATGCTTGGAGCGGTGTTGTCTAGCATCTCTAAACCAATAATGATGGGATGCCAGAGAGGGTAATCACTCTGGAGAGATCTGGTTCAAAGCTCTCCCTCGGTAGCATCTATTTCTGCCACCATCAGAGACTGAAATACTGGACTAGATGGGCCATTGGTCTGACTAACATGGCACTTCTTATGTTCTTATGTTTTACTGAGTTGAACAGTGCACATTTTTGCTTTCCACCAAGATAACGTGAAGCACTGCTAATGCCAGCCTTGCTCTCTTCCAGCAAAACAGTGCCCAGCTCCAGACATACCGAATGGTCAGCCTATTGTAACTGATCTCCGGTTGGGTGCGAGAGTCAACTTTACCTGTTCTGCTGGGTACGTCAAGTCACCTGTACTGACTCATCAATTGAATGTTGGTTTGTAGAAAGTGGGCGGTGAACTGCAGAGGAGTTGGGGGCAGGGAGAGACTAGAAAACCTGGCTGGGTTTTAGAAGCCGAGTTGGGGCTGGTGCTGATGGACAGCAGGGGTGCGCCCCAGTAAGAGCTGGAGGAGGCTGGTCAAGCAGACAGTAGTAGGGGTTCCCAACAAGTTTGGTTCTTGCCAAAGCAACCCAGGCTAGAGTGCTCATCAGGTGGTGGATTGTGCGTGATGGGGGGAAGCCTCACATTTGGAGTGGGAGCGGGTTCACCTGGCTTCCTGTGACCAGTGCCACCTCTCCCCTAATCGGGTCTAGCTATTGGTTACGCCTAGTGCCGTTACATGGACTAAAAGTTAGCAGCAGATGAATGCAGACCTCTTCCTGCTCCGAGCACAAGTGTTTGCCA